GGCAAGGTATGAACATTTCATATATGGAAACCTGAGAGCTGCTCAGCGATTTCACTGCAAAATGATTTCCTGGACATGGAATTAATCTGATTCCCTTCAAGTTAATTTAAATTGAGCCAGTGGGTGACTTCAGTAGCTTTTAAAGTTCAAGAACTTATAAGTGCTGAAGCACCGTGGAAATAGAATTGAGGTACTTAAATATTGCTGTAGTCCAGGTGCTGATAATTAGTGCACACTTAACGTATCCTTTGAGTCATCAGTATATTGCTAGAAAAATAACCCTAACATTAAATAATGAAGTTGGTTGGTAATGTACTTCTAGATACAGAAAATATAGAGCTGGCTTGATGTCAGCTGAACTCTGCTTTTTTCTGCTTGGAGCTAAAAGAGCACTGTTAAGTGAAAATCCTCAAATGAGGCATAAATCAAAAAATAAATTCTTAGTAGGAATTAGGGAAAAATGTCTCCTTCCTGTGGAGGAAAAAAAAAAAAGGTTTATTTTGTTCCTTTTAGCAGAATCAGTCTAGTTCTATACATTCAGTCTCTCGATAAGTCAGAGGATAGGTCTGAATTGCTGTCTACAGCCTAATGATGCTGCTCCATTGAGTTCAGAGGCTTAAATGCATTTTGACTTCAATGGAATAGGCTCGCATCCAACCACTTACAGGCACAGTATAACCTTAAATACAATCTTTTGCTTCTTTCATCAGGTGAGAACCAAAGACCATATATTTGATAGCGTGGGTCACCTTATTCAATATCACATGGAAAATAATTTGCCAATCATCTCTTCTGGAAGTGAAGTGAGCTTGAAGCAGCCTGTAAGGAAAGAGAGTAATATGGGACATTTGCATTATCACAAATAATCCCTTGGATCTCACAAACCCCAAGACAATTTGTATCTGGAAACTTCATTGACTATTATAAAACTTCATATTACGAAGACAATTCAAAAGGAATAGACTGCACTTTCTACTGCTGTTCCAGAAGATATCCTTTTGTGTGTGTGTATATATGAATATATGTATATGTGTATATCTATGTAGATCTATAGAGATCAATAAGCATAGTTATATAGACATATATAATCTTAACAAAATTACACCTTCAGAGTGTGAGATTCATTTGTGAGAGGATATTTTAGACATGCACAGATGTCACTTTCAAGGTCATACTGAATCAGTAACTATTTAAAAGCACAATCAAACCTCTACATGTAAAAGCTCACTTGAATGAACCACTGGAACATTAGTACGTGCCTTTTAGGTTAGAGTTATTGGAAACCAATATTATTTATACTGAATTAGTTTTGGATGGTTAAACAAACATGTCTATCCTTTTCGCTATTTGCCAAAACAAATGCAATTTGAATATTACTAAAATATCACCTGCTTTCGATAGACACTAACAATCTCATTTTGCTTGTAACAGCACTTTACTAGCAAGTAATGTTTGAAATGAATGGTGTTCACAATACAAAAAGATTGTATGGTTTCTTGATTATTTTTTATCACTGACAACTCAAAGACTGAGATTATGCAATATTTACAAAGTTGAAATTGATACGTGTAATATAATTTTGGAATAGAACTTACTAAGGGGCAAGCATGCTAGATCCTAATATTTTTGTCTTGCATAAAATTTTACTATTATTACCAATTAATACCGGAGTAATCTCTTTTTAAAAGTAGGCTAAATATATTTTCATTGATTACATAGCTGTTTACAAGCTAAAAAAGCTGAACAAAACTAATGATACATTTTGAGAGAAAACTATTTAAAAGACTGTTTGAACTGTGCATGTGCCCTTATTCAGTATTCTTTCCAAAACAATATATGATTTTCTCTTTATTCACGTAGAGTCCAATTGTTCCTAAAGTCTTTTAAAGGAAAATTATCTATTGTTTGGTCACAATAAATAATCTAAATACAAACACTCGTATATTCCCAGTTCACAGAAGTTTCTTGGGCTTCCTGTTGAAGAAACTGATTTAGTAGGTAACTGAAAAAAAGGGAAGAAAGATCTGGGAAATTGGACTGAAAGTCCAGGTAATAGCCTGAGAAAGTTGTACGTTTAAGATAAGTAATGTCTTCTGGCACTGGCAGGGACATTCTCTGTCTCCTAGCCTACCAACATAGTTCTGTCAGGTAGACAGTTTTTGACCAATTAGCAGAAGAAAATATTTGACTATTAAGAAAAAATTATCTTCATGGTAAATGGGACAGTATAGTAAGAGCTCTGTCCTCTGGAAAACAAAAGGAGTCATTTGGACTAAAAAAAAAAAATTGAGGACATAAGCTTTCTTAGAGAATATGATGTAAAGAGCCACATTTAGAGCAGTCCATAATCAGCTTTACTCTTCCTCAGCTAAACAGGCACAAAATATGCTTCATTCCTTGAGAACAACATGATATTACATATAACTGAAGAGGTGAGAAGCTTTAAAATATTGGTGCCTGATCTCCTTGGATAATACTCTGGCATTAAGAAAAAAAAAAAAAAGAAAGAAAAAAAAAAAAGGTCCCTAACAGAAGTTCTTGCTAAAGTTTTGTACCAGCGCAAGGTCAGATGGACAGAAACTCTAAGTTTGGGATAGTAAATGCCTGCATAGTTTCCTTCCTATTCTTAGGTCTTACCGAACTTCATACAGTGTAAAATGCTTGATGTGAGTTCACTGATCAAACTGAAGCAAAAATAGCTACTTCTGTGGTATGCCAAGGGGACAGGAAGACCTGCATAAGGTGACTTTGATGTTTTCATCAAAGGTGAATTTTCTGACAGGTCATAGAAAGCAAATGTGCTGAACTCTGTTTTATAACAAAAATCACAGCTACTGGTGACTAGAATAATACTGTTTTGAGTTGGGATAGCTTGAGTTCAAAGCTGTATTAATTTGGCACTCAAAATACTGACTTAAGAACTTTTTCACTCCATCAATTTTCACTTTACCAGTGCAAAAACATCCAGAGTGTGTATGTGACATTTGGAACACTGTGTAACAAAGTCTTGCTCTATGAATACCACAATCTGAAACAAAAGTAAGACCAGAATCTTTATTTTGTTGCTCCTGAATCTTTTGTGTATGAAGTAAAACTATGAAGGAAAAGGGAAAGAAGTGTGAATTAACTGGGCAGTGTTGCAACAGTGTAGTGATTGATTTAATGCTGATCACAGCTAAGTACTTCTTAACAGAATGGGAGAGTGAAATATATGATAGAGAAAGGGTTTGTGGGTTGAGATAAGGACAGGGAGATCACTCACCTATTACTATAGTGGGCAAAACAGACTCAGCGTAAGGGCAATTGATGCAATCTGTTGTCTATTAATAACAGACTGTAGAAGCGAGAGCTAAAATCAAGGCAAAAACACCATCCACCCCTTCTACCCTCCTTCTTCCTGAATGGCACAGAGGAACAGGGACGGTGATAAGCCCGTAACACTTTGTCTTTGCTACTCTTTCTTCCCCACTCTCTGCCCCTGCTGTAGCATAAGGTCTCTCCTGCGGAATGCAGTCCTTCCTGAACTAATCCCACATGGGCTCTCCATGGGCTGCAGCCTCCTTCAGGCCACATCCACTGCTGCACTGTGGGTTCCTCCGTGGGTTGCATCCGTTTTTTCTGGAGTGGAACCAGGAATTTGGTTTTCAGTTTCTAACACCTATGTGCCTCTACTTGCTTATTAACGCTGCTTATCTCCTCTGTGGATCGCCTCCTGTAAATTATGCCATCTCCCATGCAGTTATGCCAAATTAAAAAATATCTGAATTGTGGAAACTTTTCCAAAACATCCATCTTGAGAAGGTTACTCTGAACTTTTGGCACACACAGACTTCTTTTTAAAATAACTTCATTTAGACTTCATTTAAAACTACTAGTGGAAATTGCAAGCATTGGTTAATCTCTGCTGTAATGGTTACTAGCACCCTTGGGAAAAACAGCTAATGTTGCCTATAAAGCCCCATTTACAAGGCTTAGCATGTTAATTCCACTTACAAAGTGTCTATAAATTTCACTGAAACACATTAATACGCGTATCTGCTTGCTTCCATCAATAAAAATACTACAAGAAATGAATGAGATGCCTCTCCCCAAACCCAGCTTCCATTTTCAGCTGTTGGACTTTTCACAGCTAAGGCTGAGTGTCACCAGATGGAGCTATTACATATTTTCCTCATTGCTGAACAAAGCGGTCATTGTTTGAAAAAAGTGGGTTTTTTTTTAAATTTATTTTGGATGTTTGCTGCAGGCTATTCTGCATAAGGAGTTTGTGAGCTCACAGAAACTTGTTTTTTTTAGATAGATTGTGGCCAGGCCCGGAGGCTGTGTGACTCCATGTGACACAGCCCCCTGAGCGCAGCCACTTTTTGGCTGTGCCCCTCCAGGGTTTCAGGTGACAATGCGGACATCTTGTGCCATTGCCACCTTGCCAGCACAGCACGGCGAAGGGAACAAAGGGTCAGCATGTGGCAGCTGTGTGACGAGTGGGGTGACAGCAAAACACGCCCTACGGTGAGAAATGCTTATGCTCTGCCGCCAGCTCGCACCATGACGTGGTCGCCATCATGGAACGTCGCGCCGTCGGGCTGTGACGTCACGAGGGCACCGCTCTGATGACGCCACCGCGCTGTTGCCGGGCAACGGCCACGTCCCGCTGCTAAATGGCGCCGCTGCCCGCCCGCTTGCCCGCCTGCCGTGCGCGCGCACTCCCCCATCTCCGGAAAAAGCCCGCCCCTCCGCAAACAGGCCGCAGCCAATTGGTCGGTCGCTTAGCCAATCAGCGCGCCAGACCCTTTCCCGCGGCCACGCGCGCCTGCTTTCAAACAATCAGACCGGCGGGTCTGCAGCGCAGCCGAGCACGGCTGGGGCGGGGCGGGGCGGGGCGGGGCGAGGCGGGGCGCGGAGGCCGCTCGTCTCTTCCTGCGCCGCGATCCGGCGCTGCTCCGGCTGCTGGTTGGCGCGCGCGGCTGTCTGTCAGAGCGGCGGGCGCACGTTCGGTTGTCATGCGGAAAAGCGGCGGGGCCGCTGTCGTTGTGTCGGAGGGGAGGCGGACGGTCGTCTCTCCCCGCGCCTCAGGTGAGTGGCGGCGGCCGGGTCCGCTGTTCGGCCTCTTTCGCTTCTCCCGGAGGCCGGCAGGGAGGCTCTTCCCGCTGCGCGTGGCTGCGGGGCGCCGGCGCCGCGCTGAGGGAGAGCCGGGCCTCGGGATGAGGCCGGCCTGCGGGGCGGAACAGCGCCTCGGGGCCCGAGCCACTGCGGAGTGATGCTGAGGTTGTTGGGTCTCGCCGCGAAGCGCTTTCACCTGGAGCCAGCCTTCGCCGAGCTGTAGTGTGCTTCTGCTTGGAGCAGAGCGCGATCCGTGCCTAGGAATAAGCGAAGCAAGAGTATCTTAATTATAGTAACTTCGTGATAAAAGCGCTCGGGTTCAAATTAAACTATTTAATTGGCTTTAAATAGTGAATTCTTTGAAATAAGTGTCGCTCATACTGGAAAACAAATTCAAGTGAATGATACATCTAACATGCAGTGTAACTTTCAGAAAGACATTTGTTTGGCTCCTTAATTCAGGAGCTTTTTGGGATATATTTATTTCCTTTTCATCACGTGTGATACTTTCCTGTTTTGTGATAGGTTTCCCTGGGTACTGGAAAATACTGTTAGAGCACAATGTCCCTCGACTTTGATAGTGGGGCTCTGCAGACTCAGCATGAAGATGAAGACTATGACCAAGAGGACTATGCGAGAGAGCAAGAGGTTAGAAAAAAGTTAATCTGAAGGCTTGTGTAACTAGTATCCCACCGTTTATTGTCCTTTTTATTAATTTACGTTTTACTCTTATAAAGAGAACGTAGAACAGCGTGGGCTGTGTTTTGCAAGAGTGATGTAAAAATTGAAGAGATAAGAAGATGATGCACCTAATGAGCTCTGTAATGTTATGTGTAGAGGCTGGAAGGCCTTGATCATCTCTTGCCCAGGCAGTAGATAGGATGCTAAAAGCTGCTGTCACCTCCTTTTTGCATTGTTCATAGCTTTTTCATGCATTGTAATTACTTGGCAACAGCTGTAATCTGATAATCTAAGAAAAGAAATGAAGAACCACTTCCTCATTCCTTATTCGCCACATCTACATGGTGGCCTTTCACTTATCTCTTGTTAGGAAAAGTCTGCACCAAAAAATTTGCTAGAAAGATCACTAGGTTAATCAGTAGTCTGTGAAGCCTTGTGGGGTGTAAGTCTGTGAATTCCTGTGCTGTGAACGAGTGACTTCTTTTCAATGAAGGAAAAAAACCAGGATTTTGTGCTAGCAGCTTATTTAATATATGTCTGCCAAATTTTAGTTGAATGTGTGTTGGTTTGTTCTGTTTCAGTTGCAACAGCTGTTGACAGACCTTCCCCATGATATGCTGGACGACAGTGGAGACCAGCTCTCCAGCTATTCGGACTCTAGCATTCATGAGACTGAGGAGCAGTAAGGCTTTTTGTACTACATTTTTTTAATTATTTTTTAAGTTGTGCTTTTGAGAATAGAACCAAATCTCGGCTGATCGTAGAATCCTTAGAGATGGAAAGGCCCTTTAAAAATCATCTGCAACTGTCCTACAATGAATGGGGGCATGCACAGCTAGATCAGTTTGGTCTCAAAAAGCCTCCAGGGATGGGACATCCACCACATCTACAGCCAACCTGTTCCAGTGCCTCACCAGTCTCACTGTAAAAGACTTTTTCCTTATATCCAACGTTAATCTACCCTCTTTGAACTTGAAGCTATTTCCACTTGTTCTATCACCATACACCCTACTAAAGGAGGTGTATGGAAAGCAATTTAAGTAAAAGACCTGCTGTACTGCAGTATGGTTGGGGCACCACTTAATTTAATGAAGTGAGCTTTTGTTGTTGTTGTGTTCGTGTTTCTTTTCTTTCTTTTTTTTTTTTTTTTTTAAGCACCATAACTAAGCTTTTTGTCTTTTTCTAGGTCACAGGAAGCTCGAAAGCCAGATGGAAGGTGGAATGATCATCTATTGATAACTGATGCTCAAAATGTAAGTTTGTGTAAACTGTGATATAATGAATAGAGACTACTTGTGGATGATTACATACTAAATATTCTTTAAATTCACTAGAGAAGTAGTTCTACCATAGGCAGCATGCTCTGCTTTTCATTTGAAATAGTTCTCCCTTGAGAGTTGGTAAGAAAAAATTTGAGTTTTCAGAGAGCAAATGTTAATTCTCTTATTCATTTATAGGGTTATGAGCAAGGACAAAATCTGTACCCTGACCAATTCTTGTGTGACCAGCAAAATGACCATGTTGAAAAACATGCCAAGAATTGGAATGGCTTGCATAACAGTGATCAGATGAAACATTTATACGATGTGAAAGAAGATTACTCTGGACAGAACAGTCAAGAAGATGCAGATGATGTCTATCTTGATAGAGATGGATTTAATGCTCCAGGTTGCTACCAGCAGAGCAATTTATATCATCTTCCTGAGAACTTCAGACCATACACTAATGGCCATAATCCAGAATTTAACAGTCAACAGAATCAAATAATAAACTTTCCCGATGCTCCAAAGGAACATCTTAAGGTATTTTAGAAGCTGATGTATTTTTCTGACTTGGTGAAAATTTTCATAGGCTTTAGCTGCTGATAGTAATATTTCCAGATGCTTTTAATCTGTTATTATCAGTTGAAACAATGATATAAGGTTTCTGTAATCAATTTTGCATATTAAAACAGGAAAGTGTTAAACATCAGAGTTTTTATATATCCACATTACAATTTTTTCCTCGTTGTTGGCTAGCCAGAAATCCATGAGGAGGAATGAATGCGGTGCACTGAAGCATGTGTTTACTCAGTTGAAACTGAAGGCTCAAGCAGAAGCCTCTGTTACGGTTTCTATCACCGTTGAATGATATCCTGTATAGGATTCTGTAAATGAGAAGAGGAGATACTAAACCTCCTCTTGATATCAACCAGTAAAACAAAAAGGAAAATTATTTTAATTGAGGAATCTACATTTGTAGCTCTCATTTCTTTATTCTTATATATTGTCACAGCAGCCGTTTGTTACATCTGAAGTTGTTAGTGGCCAGTCAGCAGAATCTTACAAAGTGATGTATAAACCTTACCAAAATGACGTTCATAAAAAAATTCCAGTAACCCAAGAAGGAATGAGAAGAAACGAAGTGTATGAAGATTTGCAGCATGAGTTCTCAGGCAATGAAGAAAGTAAGCAGTTTTTATGTAGACTTGAAACAGAATTGAGGCTTGTGTTAAAAGTCCGCTGGAAATCAACAGCAGGTTATACATATCAGATGTTTATGATCAACATGTTTTATTTTGCTCTGAGCAATGGAGTTCAAAACCAACAGAGCTATTTGAGTAATGTGACTTAAACATGGATAGAAAATAATGCACTTCTCTGAACTAACAATGGATTTGGCTCTTTATGGAAAAGCTATATATTGTGTCAAGAATTGCTTATGATCCCAACCTGTTTAATTGACTGCACTAACTTGTCGGTACGCTCTGTTTGAAATTCTGGCAGATTCTTCAGAGAATATGCAGATTCTTCAACTTAAAGCTCTAAATAAAGCACGAGAGAGACGAGTGGAAGAACTTAATGAAAAGCTAGAAAAGAGTGCACAGCAGATTAGGTATCTGAGCCATCAGCTTTCAATGGTCACAGGTAAAATATTGTACTGATATCAGATTTTAGATTTTATCCATATCTAACAACTTGTTTGTTCTGATGCTTTGACTTAGTATCACGCAATTATTGTTCTTCTCTCTCAAGGTGAAAAGGATGGTTTGGCTGTTAGTCTTCATGAATCTCAAAAACTCTATCAGAATGGAAAAGAACGGGAAGTGTACCTTGAAGGCCAAATAAAGGCACTTGAAACTCAAATTCAGACTCTTACTACCAATGAGGAGCAGGTACTGTACACATTATTAAACTGTTCATTGTGAAAGATCTTTACAGAATATTTGCAGTGCAGTCACATTAAAAGTAAGTGCCAGTCTCCTGGCACGCAGTGCGTGATGATTGCAGGTGAACCAATGGGGTGTATTGGTGGAAAAATAGTTTGTATTCAAATCCAGGCAGCAACAAGAATTTTAGCAACTCTTGCACAAAAGAACTGAATTGACACACAGAATATTGGAGCAAAGGTAAAATGTTTGTGAGCTACTCTAATACTATTCCTACAGATATTGAAGCAATCCAGGGTGGCAGAAGTAGCCATGGAAAGCATGCAGAAGCAGCTGTTAGAACTTCAGCGATCAGACACTCTTCAGCGAGCCAGAGAACAGCACGATGCTGTTGTTACAGCACTCAAGCAGAAGCACGAGAAGCAAGTACTATCATTAGAGCAGAAACTTGATACTACAAAATCTGCACTACAAGAGCAGGTGAGAAATTATTATAGGGTACTGAGTACTCTTCTGAATGCTCTGGACTTATAATATGAAGAGCTCCATATGGAAGGTATTAGCTAAAGAGGAAGAAAATACTGTGCAAGTCTCAGTGTTATGAAGCCTGTGTGATCTGTGTTTATAAACATCACTGAACAGTTAGAAGTTATAATGGCCTATATAACAGATGCAAAGAAGGTTGCTTTACCAGAGGAGGCAAGAGTTCATTGTCTTAATGTCCCTCCTGAACGTTATTCCTATGCATAGTCTTTTCTTGAGTTGAGTACCTGGGAAATCTGGGAAAGAGAAGCACTACTTAGACTGGGTTTTATAATCATGCAACATGTGGTTATCTGATACACAGTAACAGTCTGTCATGCCATGAAATGCGCACGTTGCTCTGAAAGTAATGTCTCCTGCTTATTTCCATAGAAACTACAGCAGATACAAAGAGCACAACAACACTTTGATAGAGCACATTCTCAGCTATCAAATGCTATTTTTCAACACAGTTACCACCATTAGCTATGCATTTTTGCAGGTGATGAACTGCCTGCAAATACATGTTGTGCTTGTAAAAATCTGTTCCAATGAAGGTGACTCACTGTTTCACAGATGCTATGATGGCATCATTGCTAGGAAAATGTTACTCACGTAGTCCTTCATTGGCCTGACCATATGGAAGCTGGAAAGTGCCAAGCCCAGATTATGCGGTGAGTGTGGTAGGACAGTGTAGCCAAGATTGGCAATGTGCTCAACCAACTTCAAACTTGAATGGGCCCTCCTGTTATCATGTTGCAAGGGAAAGTTTTTCTTCTTTTTCCTCTGTGTGGCTCCAGCTTGAAGGCTTCAGCTTACTCAGTGCTATGATTTTTGATCTGATTTGGTGCTTTGTCCAGATTCTGAGAAATCCAGAATGATTACCCTTTTCCTATCCCAAAAGAGAGTGTGTATTACTTAACCTGCTAAGTGCTGCAACTCAGACCTTTTCTTTGATGGGGAATTCAGATCTCCCCCAGCCATGGACTGCTGTTTTGAGTCTAGCTTGCAGTGGTGACACCATGTATGTATCATCACTGGTAATGATGTCACCTTCAGCTTCATATTGATTCAGTAGGTCTTGACAAACTTGCATATTGTGTTTTTTTTTTTTTACTGTTCCTGTGTGAGCATTCACAGGACCTTCCTGGCACAAACTGCAGTATTCTAATGTTGCCACCTTTGATTCCAGGGCATTTGTTCACTTCTGTTTACAGTTCCCTGGTTGTAAACTACTGTCTTCTGCTGATGATCTGATGGAGATATCCTTGTTTTGTGATGTGACAGCTACACGTGGCCATCCAGATCATGGCTTGTCTTTCATGTCACTGTTGCTACTGCTGAAATGCAGCACTCACTGATCTCACATCCACTGTTTGTTCTCCATAAATGTTAAGCCAGTGTCAGTGGATGTCATTGGCTGTGATTTTTTTATTTTATTTTATTTTTTTCCTACATGGAGAAACTCAGTGACACACCTTTGCTTTGTATGTTCTTCCACATCAGATGCCATTTTGCCATGCTGCCCCTCAGCTGCCATCTGTCACATGATAACAAAATGTAATGGAATACTGGCAGGGAGTTTCAACCTCAGCTGCCATATCACCAACATCTGCCTCTGCTGTAAGCCAGCATAATAAAATAGGTATTACTGCCCTTGTGTATTCAAACAATGCACTCTAGTCGGACACTGATAAGTTGTCTTCTTTCATATAAAGAAAATAGAATTAAAGAACTTTCATTCTATGCCTGTAGTTTTGAATCTTAACATAAAAATGCATGAAAATGGGCTGTGCATTTGGAAAGTTAACTATCTTATTTTGCATAAGAGAAAGCACTGCTTATAGTGAGCTCTGGTTTTAAAAAAAGATAAGTTGAAAGGAGGTACTATACCTCATCTTTACACCTAACTAAGTGTTGCCATATGGAGGACTTCCTATCACATGAAAAACTACATTTCTTGTTTTACACTGCAATGAAACTTACTGGCTTGGCTTAAGCTCTGTTGACTTAAGCTTGGGCTGAGAACTAAGTACATGTCACTAATCACAGGACCTATCTGACGTGCTAAGAACACACTGCTCTAGGAAGCACAGGACAGTTTGCATCCATGTTTGTTCTTACATGGTTATGCTTACTGTTTCTTTGTGGAAACTCAGTTGCTCTGAGAGGTCACTTGTCACTTATTTTGGATGGTTCAGTGTTTGTTGCATGAATAAAAACAATTCTTCTTCCTAGAAAGAGCTTTGCCAAAATCTAGGAGAGCGTGTTAAGGAACTTGAAAAAATGCTGGAAGAAACCAAATGTGAAAAAACTGAAATAATAAATCGATTGACAAGAAGTCTTGAGGAAAGCCAGAAGCAGTGTGCAAACTTACTGCAAACAGGTCAGTCTTTTCCTCACACCGTATCTTCCCGTACAGAAACAACTAAAGCATGCCGTTGCAAGTCGGTGCTCAACATCAAGCTGAATGTATAGTGGACTACTAAACAAATGTTATGCTACCACAGATGCTTTCTTCATTTAAAAGTATTTTAAGAATACTTTAGTGTTATCTGACGTGAATTGGTCAATAGTAGCTGATCTGTCAGCATGTGCCTGGCAATTTCAGCCTTTACATGCTTAGTACCTTGTACTGTCAAGCACGTTTAAAACATATCCACTATTAAATCAGTGGAAGCTTGGGTAGATGTTATTTTGTGCTGTTAAAATCTATTTATTCATTTTTCTTACGTGCCTTTTCAAGTTTCATTTGGCATAAATGTCTATTCACAAATTCTGTAGTTGAAATAAATAAAAGCTGGTGTAAAAAAAAATAGTAGTTGCAGAACTGAAGCTTTTAATTCTTGGGAAGTTTCAGCATGAGCAGCCACGCTCAAGGTTTTCACTAGTTAGGTCTTTATGAAGCAGAGCTTTACTGTTGTACAATAAAAAACTCAGTATGAATTGCTATGCTAAATGCAAATGTTTAAGAAGTTTTCTTGCAGCTGGAGACTGCTTCTGGACAATTTCTATCAGTAGGAACAGTGTATAGAATTTTCTGCTCCTTATGTGTATGTCTTGTGGCTCCCATTAGATATGGAATTGTTTTAATAGTTGTTTGCTTTCTAGGAAAGGACAGCATAACTTACTGAAATGCCTTTCTTACCAGATCCTGGATTTAAGTGTATGTTCTGCTTGAGAACTGTGGTAATCTGGAAGAAAAGTCTGTCCAGAGAGAGCATGGTGGTGAGGATGGAGGAGGAGAAAAAACCTATTAGCTGTGTATAATGTAGAAACTATATAAACGATTTTTAAGAGTTTAACTGCCAGCTGGAACACCATCATGACTTTTTCCTCCATGCCTTATTCATCAAAAGCCTTACACCAATAATAAATTGGCAAACTCTTAGAACAAAATTCCTTATCTCTGGAGGAGCCAAAAGTTTTCCAACGCTGTCCTGTTCCTGCTCACTTTGCACAGTTTTGTGTGTGTTTTTTTTTTTTTTTTTAAATTCTAATGAGCTGCACAGAAAGCAAACCTTTGGCACATCTTGCTTCTCATGGTATTTGTTTTACAGCTACAATAAAAATTGAAAAAATTAAGTCAGCGTAGTTCCCAAAGTTGAATTCAAATTGTCACTTAAATTGGAGATCAGTAGTAGCCCAAGTTCACCTGTTTGGTGCAGTGAGTATTCTTGCCGTTGTTCTTTGTGGGGTTTTTTTTGTTTGTGTTTTGTTTTATTTAGATCATATGGTCTTTCTTTCATATTTATGCTTTGCTGTTTTTCTGTTTGTTTTTCTTTTCTTCCCTGCAATAGGCTCCATACAGGAGGCAAATCAGTTACGGTTTCAGTTGCAACAAGCTCAGTCTGCGCACATGATAAGCAATAACCTGAACAAGGCTCTGCAGGTTAATTTCTTTTATTAAATATTTCACATTTAATTAGGTTTTGATTTTAGAGGGGTGAGCATTGTAGCTGACAGGCTGGTGGTTTCGTGCATGTACCTGTGTGTATGTAGGTACAAGTCTGACATCGTGCGTCTGAACCGCTCGTGGAAAAGGAAGCACATAAATTCAGTGTGTTGGGAATGTCATAAGTTGGCCTGTAGGGAAGATTGTGGGTTTTATTTTCTGAAATTTTTTGATGTGCCATCAAGGAGAAATACTAAGGAGTCCTCTTAAATACCACTGGGCGTCTGTGTTTCCAGTTCAGTAAGTGATCTCTTTAGATCTATCATCTTAAAGCAAGGAACCCTAACAGGTACTAGAGTATGAACTGTGTATGCTCTTTGTATGGTAAAATGAACAACAGGGCGTCACAAGGAAAGAAGTAGTAATATTTAATTTCATGTATGAACCGTAAGATCAATAGAATGTACTGAGCAACAGAAAATATTAATTTGTAGTTGTTGTATGTTATGCTTTGCTATCAAAATGATTGGTGTTAAAAAAAAAATAGAACGCTCAAGAAAATACAACTGGTGTATAGAAAGAATAACTCCATGTATTTGTTTTCTTTGTAAGAATCATAGTCTTGATACATTTACTTAGAGTTTCTCTGCTCTATTATTTTTTCGTCTGTTCTTTTAAGGATGAACTAATGGAACTGAAGGAAGAAATAACTTTGTATGAATCTGCTGCCAAACTTGGAGTATTTTTGAGTGATGCAGGTGGAGAGCTGCAAGCGAACCTCAGTGATTCCTGTGTAGATTTGGGGATTAAAAAAGTCACCATGAATAACTCAAGGTTCTGCAGGTACTGAGTAATTCTTATTGAAAAAAAAAATCTGAAATCTTCCATAACTTACACAAGCAATGTGTAAATTCAATTTTTTACTTCCTATTTTTATTTGTGATAGATACTGCTTGTATCCCCAGGTAACTGGGGAAATAGGAATTTGAATTCAAAGTGTATGTTGAATGCCTCATCATTGCTTAATGCATACATAGATTTCATAAGGACTACGTTATTGTTCCTTGAGTGTGATTCCTTTTGGTGTTTCTGGAGTGATTCTTTTTTTTTGTTAATCAATTGCCATGAGAGTTCAGCAGAAAGCGTTTAACATGTGCAACAAAGTAAGGAGTGTTTTCACTTGTGATGCTTAAGAAGCAGTCTGTTGCATGGCATGGGAGACTGGCCTTGTGTTCTTCAGGACTTGAACTCTGCTTCTTTAAATCTTCTTGTAAAATCTGAAATCTGTCGTAGGGAATGTAGCAATATACTTGAGTAACTGATCTGCATACGGAGTGCCACTGAATTTCTCGACAACAGGCAGACATATCTTTAAAAAGTGGAAAAATTCTGTTTTCCTGCTTGCATTATGCTCGCTGATAGCTATTTTACCAATTGTATGGATTGTGTGCATGGTTTTGCTCAAAGATTCCATGTGACTACTTATGCTCATGCTTTCTCTATAGCAAGTCATCCTGAAGTACTTTGTGTCATGTGAGAATGGATCTTCTGGGAGAAACAGCAGAATGAAGGTGTTTTGTGTACGTTAATTGCAGCTTAATGAAAAAGCATGAGGCTTTTGTGTTCATGTTCTTACATCCTTTTTGCTCTTATCCCTTAGAGCTGAACTTCTGTATTTGTGGTAGTATCATTTGCTCTTCTTGCTAAGACTGACTTCTGGATAAGTGTTTTGTCTTCTGAATACTGAACTGGTTATGTTCTCCCTAATAGTATAATACAGAACAGAGACATGGATAAAGAGCTCTCTAAAGATGAAATTATTGTAGAATTAAAAGCTGAACTGGAACGCTTATTGAGCAGTAATAAAATGAAGAGAAACCAGGTTACTCAATTACAAAATGATCTTAAAGATTGCCAGAAGAAGTTAGAAGAATTCAAGCAGTTGTTGAAAGCAGAAAAAGCATCAAAAGATTTGGAGGTTTGTTCTTTCACATATTTTTCAAGTGCTTGTAATTTGTACTGTGGTTTAATAAATCAAAGCAACATTAAAATTTCTTATGAAATCGAGACAAAAAAAAATAATGAAAGTTATGTAGCAATTCATAGTAATTAAGTAGATCTGCCTTTGATCTTAAGGGAAATATTGTTGTTTTGGTGATACCTTGTTTTGTATCTGTGGTGAGAAAGAAAGAAACTGAGTAGCATAACTTGGGCAGAATATGTCTTTTTAAGTGAGTTCTGATACAATAATTTACTTGCCTGATAGTGGTGGTATAATTGATGGGATGTCAAACAAATTGTTTTCTCATAGCATTCGCTCTCTAATTTGATCAGTCCTTTCATGGGCTGCATAAAAGGAGGCACGGCCAGCAGGCTGAGGAAAGGTGATTGTTCCCAATCTACTTTACAGAATCACCTGGGTTGGAAGGGACCTCAAGGATCATGTAGTTCCAACCCCCCTGCCTAGCAGGGCCACCAAACATACGCATTGTACACATTACCATTGTAAGTCCCCACCTTCAGTGTTGCATCCAGCTCTGGGACCTGGAGCACAAGAAAGGCATAGACCTGTTAGAGTGGGCCACAGAAGTGTTCAGAGCTGGAGGACTTGTGTCTAGAGCTTCTCTTTAAAAAAAGGCTGAGAGAGCTGGGGTTAAGTCTAGAGAAAGGAAGGCTCCAAGGAGACTTTGTTGCAGCCTCTCAGTACGTAAGTGTTGCATATAAGAAAGGTGAAGAGATTTTTGCAAGGACACCTAGTGATGGGATAACGGATAATGTTTTGAGTTGAGAAAATAATAGATTTAAGTTACATATAAGGAAAAAGATTCTTTGCTTTATGATGGTTGCAAGGCACTGGAACAAGTTGCTCAAAAGTTGGGGGTGCCTTGTTGCTGGAAGTGTTCAAGGTCAGGTTAGATGGGGCTGATTTTGTGGGAAGTATCCTTGTCTATGGCAGGGATTGGACTAGATCTTTAAAGGCCCTTTCCAACTCAGACAAATCTGTGATCCATGAAAAATCTCTTTAATGTTGTGTGTCTCTTGACCACGTGATTAACTTCAAATTGTGATGTGATTGGAGTTGTAACATGCACTTTTGTAATCCGTGTGTTCTGACCTGGATGTGGGACAGAAATATAGTTTGCTTCAGGGGTGTAGTCTCTCAGCTGGATAACAGCAGTCAGCTAACAAACAGTGTCGAGTACCTACTTTTAGGAATAGCATTATGAAATTTCTAAAGAGTAACAGTGATACCGTTATTGCACTGCTGTACTGTCCTTGCTTGGTTTTGCTTTCTGTAAGTAAAATACAGTTGTAACTCTGTAATTCTTTTTAAGGAATCTGTTTCTAGAGTGTGCGTACCTTTGAAAGTTATCATCTTAATTTTATTTTTTAGCCAGTGACAAATCAAAACGATGCTTTGGTGGCCAGTCTGTTAGATTCTGATAATCTTAAGGAAGAAGTTTTGAGACTCAGAAAGGCAAATGAAACTTTGCTTAGAGAAGTTCAGGTGAGAAAAAAATGCTTTGCATTCCTATTAAAAAACAAACAAAAAAAACCCCAACCAACAACAACAACAAAAAAAAACCCAAAACCTGCAATTATGCCTTAAAACTCACCTGCTACTTGACTCCTTTTTGTGCAGAGCCATGCTTTGACTATTGAAGAACTGAAAGAAAACGAGGAAAAACTGAAAAGCTCAAACCAGGATCTCTGCTGTCAGATGAGAAAGATGGTTCAAGAATTTGATGAGGATAAACAAGAAGCCATTGACAGGTTAAGTCCATTAACACTGTTTAGTTTCTTTTGTGAACTTTGATCCTGCGTGTGGTCGTGAGGAGAGTCTGCTTTGGAAATGTAGCTTCTTTGTTCTGAAACAAAAGCTGAACCCCATTTTGAAGAGGATTCCTCACATAGGCAGTGTTTTCCTTTCTTGAAATCATAGGTGTGAAAGAACATATCAGCAACACCATGAGGATACAAAAGCCCAGTTTGAGAAAGACATGATGCAGAGGTATGCTGCAGAAAAACAGCAGCTTATTCAAAGTTATGAAGAGACAGTCTCGCAGCTGAAGTAAGCATTTTCAGTTTTTTCAATGCTGTGAAACATTTGTGCTTCATGTCTGGCCCTTTGTGCTTTTTGAAATGCTCTTTCAAAGCAGTTATATCCTGTGAGTTTAAAAATGGATTGCTAATGTGTGATTTGTACTGTGAAGGGCTACCATAGAGGAGCTGAACAGAGAGATGACCACAGTGAAGGAATGTTACATAGCAGTGTGTGGTGAGAAGGACACCTTGGAAACTACTTTAAGACAAATGTTTGCACGTGAGCAGCAGATGAAAGAAGATAAGGTATTATTGCATCATATCATATTAAAGTATTTTTAAGATAAATCCACTATTGTGTATTCCAACTTTGTGAGGTTCAGGGCAGAGACTTGGTTTAAAATACAGTACTGGTAACTCTTCCTGCAGCTACTCCTTTTCATGTAGTTGTCCTTCCCCAAAATATTGGCTCCTAAAGACAGATCATTCACAGGTGAAGGCTTGCTTTAACTGTTTTATTTTGTTATTATTGTTATTAATTATTGGTGGTTTTCATCCTAGCTCAAGAAACAGCTTTTAGAAGAAAAAGAAGAATCACTTAGAATTCTGAGAAGTGAGCTTGAGGAGAGATACAGTAATTCTATTGCTGAAGCAAAGAGGCAGTGGCAGGAAGAAAAAGAAATGCAGATTGAGAAGGAAGTTGCATTTGCCAAAGTGCACTGGGAAAAGGAAGAAAAAGAGGTGAGAAGCTTGTACTGGGATTCCTGTCTTTTGTTGATTTAACTGGATGAATTTCTTTATTTTTTGGAGAAAGAGTATATGTATATGTGGTAGTCTTATGTGTTGCTCTTCTGGCATTTGAAGTGGTTGATGAGGAGCTGTTGTTTCAGAAGCCTCTGAAGTCAGTCGGTTTTACAGCTGATTGTGATCTTTGGAAAATTAGGCTTTATGAAGTAACACTGCAGCATGTAATCACAGCTGTAACATACTGGAGTTTTCTACCCTAATCTGAGGGTCAAAAGTTCAGCTTTCTGTTCTGTTGGGTTCAGTCCTCCTATGGAAGTCCGTTACACGTCTTTCCCCATGGAGGCTAGGTAGAAGAAGGAAGAAAAATAAACAACTCCTTCTGTACCAAATGCACAGTGGAGGTGTAATTTGGAGGGTGCAGGGGAAAGGGGGGGGATGAGGGGTCCAGCTAAGGTGCCCTTCTGAGGGTTTAGGTTTTGATGCTCTTCAGCAATGCTGTATTTGTTAAATACTATTGAAATTCTATTTATATGATGGGGAAGAATGTCTTAAATCTATCTGTCTACGCATATATGTTTTTTTTTTTTTTCTTAGAAGAAGGAAGACGTCATTGCGAAGATAGAAAGAGAGTGGCAAAGTAGGCTGGAAGAAGTTAAAAAAACTGTGTTTGAATGTAAGGACTGCAGCAGTCAAACAGATAGAGTAACATGTGTGAATGATGCTTCAACTGACGAGTTAGCAAGGATTGTTGAGGATCAGAAGCTGCAGATCCAGAAGGCTCTGAAAGAAAAAAAGGCCTCTGAAGAGGCCTTAAAAGAACTTGAAATAAAACTCGAAAGTAAATACCGTAAACGTCTTGCCAGCCAGGTAACAAATGACTGTCCTGTTTGCCTGGAGTTTGTGTAACTCTCAGGTGCCAATATGCTGAATGGGTCTAGTTGTATGTGCCACTGGGTCACTTCAAATTTTATTTTTTTTTTTTAGAAAATATGCTTTTCCTCTGATTTTTTTTCAAGCTCAGTAGTTGATACTTATTGTATTAGAAATAATAATTAGTATCATATAGCTTTTTCTCTATCTAATTTTTTATGTATCACTTGACCACAGCTGGTTGAGCTTTGCAGGAATTTTGAACATAACTAAGGAAAGCTAAATTTTGTTTACACCGTTTGAATGGACAGAAGTTTAATCCTCATCATTTTGGTATCTTCTTTTGCATCTGGAGATCCATTAGATGCAGCTGGTCTGATTGTATTACTTTCTTTAAACATAAGTAGTCCCAACTGAACTCTTGTTTTTAATCTTTTTATAGGTTGAGGCAGCTTTAACCCAAGCACATGCCAGGTCGCTGCAGGAATTAACAGACCTCAAAGAGTACAAGGTAAATCTAGAGACAGAACAAGAAAAGCAAAAAAGGGAACAGACAGAAACTGCAGGAAAGCTGGTAGCAGAAAATTAGTAGTTCTGAACAGGATTTCCAAATCTTGTATAGAATGGATGAATGCATGTATATAGGGAATCACTAAGGAATGATGTTTCTAGTATAGCACTGCCTTGATATTTTTTTCTTTTTTTGCATTAATAATGATGTTTTTATTAAAGGCTGTAGGAACTTTTCAGTGAACTATATATGTTCTGTATATTTTATATATGTGTGTGTGTAGCTATATAATATCTATATATGCCATATATATATTTATAATGACTCTATTTTACTTGTTAACTAGTTGGCTTTGGCTTTCTCTCCTGATGAAGAAAAATGGAAGAATGAGCATGAGAATCCAGAGAAATCTGGATCAATAGTTAGAGAACTTGAGGAAAAGGTAGTTTCTCTCAAGAAAGAATTAGAGCTAAAGGAAGAAGAAATCCCTGTGACTATCAAAGCAGCAGTGGCGAAAGCCCGTGCTCAGTGGAACAAAGAAAAGCAAGAAGAAATTGCACAAATACAAGAGCAAAATGAGAGAGACTACCGATCATTCTTAGATGACCACAGAAACAAGATTAAAGAGGTACTTGCAACAACAAAGGAGGATTTTGCAAAGCAGGTGAATGATCTCTCTGCTCAGAAGGAGGCAGAAATGAAGATGTTGCTGGACCAAAAGCAGCGAGACTGGGAGGCTCAGGAAACAAAAAGACTTCAGGATGAAATTAATCGGTACGAGGAGAAGACTCTGCTTGAGCTCGAGTGTTTGTTGAGAGAAGTCCATGAAGAGCTAGTTAAAAGCACCTGTAGTCAGCATTCCTGGGAGGAGAGGATTTCTGATGCTCCTGTTGAATTAAATCATCATTGCAAGGACAAACTGAAGGCATGCCTACAAAAGGCCTACAGAAGGACAGTTTACAAAATTCTGGAAAAGCATGAGCAAGAGTGGAAAGAGGTAATATTTCAGGGAATTGTAAATAATAGCTGGAGAAGAGATGTGAGAAAACAGATGGGTGATTCATAACCTTTTTCCCTCGCTATGTAAAATCCACCTGATCCAGAGAATTGGGGAATCCATCGTTTGCAGTCATTTGTAACAAGTTCTTTAGAACTCTGAGAGAGGGCTAAATCTATGGCCAGCAATTTAAGGGATATGATAAGGTATGGTTGTGAGACTCTCAGTGTTTGTAGTAGAATACAACCAGATTAGGAGTGTGATTTTTTTATTTATTTTTTTTAATGCCCACGTTGATCAGTTAAGGACATACATCCACACTCTTAAGTTAGGAGCATCTTAAAAAACTCATAGTGGTTTCTTAGGTTTATAGTACTGTGATTCAGGAATTTCCTTCTGTGTCAGAGCGGACAGGCAAATAAATGGAGGCATTCCTCTACAGTTCAGTGGAACCCACAACTGTACAGTAGCGATTGGATATCACATTTCTACTCATTAACTCATCTTCAGGGATGCAGTGGCATACTTTTGGCTAGTGTTTTTAACTGCCCTCGGGGAAAGTCAAGCTAATATAAACCAAATTTAAAAGTGTACATCTCACCTGATGCAGAATGTTCAGAGCCCTGTCTGTACTTTTTAGCTTCCTGAAAAGATATCCACTGCTATGCCTTCTGTAGACTCTTCAATATTCTGTTCTGACTCAACTGGTGTTCCAAAGTCAAACTCTGGGTGTTATCAGGTACTGCTATTGCAGGGAATTACACTTAGTAACCATTCTCTATGCAGGAGTACCTGTTTCCATCGCTATTCAAGCTGCTCTCTTCAGTTCTAGTTCAAGACTAATACAGCTGGGATGCAAGAATCAGAGCTAATACAGTCCTCTGGGTTGCTTGTTCATCTTCATCCTAGCTTTAATAAGTAGTATGTTGTGGAATGCATTGTTTGGCTCTTTGTTGGATTTTCAGACAGTGTTCTTTCAATTGCAGAAAAATGAAAAGGTACTGAATAATGCAAATAAAGAAGCCTGCTCCAGCATGCAAGGAGGTGATGGAGAAACTGGGAACATAGCAAGATCCCCTTTTTACAACATTGGACAGCAATCAGAAACACAAAGAAGGCTGAAGAGACGGCATAAAAGTGGGACAGATGGAGGTATTGAGTTTGTTTTCACTCTGACAGAGCTGAATGTTATCCAGTTAGGCTTGATAGGCTTGAACTTGTGAACATTTGGATGGTAGAGGGAGATACAGTTGGTCTGATAGTAAGGTTGTAGGCAGAGGAACAATTTCACCTTTGGTGCTTAAAAGTTTGTATGCAAGCCAGCGCTGAGCCTGGTGAGCAGGATGTGGAGCAAATGGTATCTTGGAGCAGGTAAGTATTAAGGCAGAGCTTTGAAGCCCAAAATCTAAGCTGTCAGGCAATACAAGGAATTATGCCTTTGCATCAAGGGCACTGTTGTGTCAGGAATGATTCTTCAGCTGGCAAGGTAGTTTCTCCAGTTCTCTTGAGGAAGGGTTTAGTTGCTGAGGAAATGTGAATCCCCTAGGTGATGCTTCTCTCCTCCTCCTCCCTGCTCCCATCTCCCTCCCAGCCCTTGAAACGTGCTGATGGTTGAGCACTGTAGCTTTCCCAAAGCTGTCCCTTGCAGCTCCCGGTCCTGCCATAGTGCGTAGCTGGGGAAGAACTTCATGGGAGGCACAGCAATGTCTCTGGGGCTTTCAGTTTATTTGAGTTGTTGTGCAACAAAAAACATAAAGGGAGAAAGCCCAAGAGAGTCCTTGGCTTTGTGCCTATAACGCGGCTTGAATTCCTTCACCACCAGAATAACAAACCATCTATTAAATGCAAAACAATGCAGGCAGCACAGCCCTTCTGCCTCTCGAGCTCCCTGTGCTGGCTGTAGAAAGCAGCCGTTGCTCCCCTGGAAGTAGCCCAGTCTTTGTAAATTTCTGAACTTAACTCAATGCAGCCGCGTGTGAGCCTTCCCAGCTGGGCGAGTTTCCTTCAGCTGACTCCAGCAGGCCCTGTTTGGCTGTTGGCTTTAAAAATAAATAAGTAAGGGGAGAGATAAGTGGCAGTTCAGCCTCCCAGTGCCGTGTTGCTGCCTGTTTTGAGACCTCTGCGTCTGATTGTTGATGGGAGCGTGCTGAGGCTGGGAAGGCTGTGTGATTTGACTGGAGCTGCTGCAGGTTCTGTACCAGGCTGTTGTGATTACTTAAATTGGACTCATACACGGTATGCTTCCTTAGCGTAGAGTGGAAATAGCAAGGTTGAATATGATTCATTTGGGACCCTTGAGTGATGGGTGACTTCTAGTATTTGTTGTTTCAGATCA